GGCGCTGGGCGCGGACGATGGCGAGGGGGTGGGGTCATTCACCGAGCCCAACAGCTCCTCTGCATCCGACGCTGCTAATGACATGCTGTCATCAAGCAGCTCGTCCTCACTTCCCCCGAATGAGATCAGGTCGCTTGCACAAGCAGAGGGACGCTGATCAGACCGGGAGAAAAGGACGGAGGAATACTCTCTCGGCGGCGAGAGCGAGGCACGCGGGATCTGGGCCGGCATGAGCTCGCTCGTAGCCGATCGCTCGACCCCTTTGCCCGCTGTTTTTTGTCAATGGTGAGCGGCTTCGGATCAGCTTGAGGACGTAGAGTCGTTGCTGAAGGAGAAGAAATCTGAGAATCCTGTGACGAGCGCCAGAGAATTCTGGCGGGCTTTGGCGGACTTCGTCGCCATAGGCTCGTGAGACCCTTATATTCCACACTCCAGTATCCGATGAGCTCTGAGTGGGCTGTCCGCAGGTGGATCTCCTCATTGGTCAGTCTGAGGAAGACAGCGTTGAGATGCGGCTGGATGTAATAGGTGCGGAACTCATAGAAGGTTCCGTGCTGCTGCCAGTAGCCCCTCACTGCAGAACAAAGATCCAGGGGGCGGGGTTGGATCCACATCTAGGGGGTGGAGATGGGTGGGTTTAGGGATCAGGGGGTGGAGACAGGTAGGTTTAGGTATATGTAAGGTGGGAGGAGTTGGATCTGGATCCAACCTCGCCCCCTGGATCTTGTGTTCTGCAGTGAGGACCATCTCCGGTGGAGATCAATGCCTTGGGCTGCTCTGGAAATGTAAAACAAACTGCTAGTGACATGTGGTCATTATTAAAACTGTTCAACTGAGATAGAAGTTCTACATTTGTCTGAATCTATATGAACTATGAGATTTTATAAAACTCACTCATTATAGAAATGGCAGCGCTCTGCTTCTGTTTCTTTTTTATTTCAATTTCCTAAGGTTTTTAAGGCACAGCCCCCCATCTAAAACCTTGAGTACGTTTTAAAAACCTTGAAACTCACATTTGATGTTACAGATAAACTGTACAAATGTTTACGTTCAGGCTCAAACCAGTCAATTCCCACTGCAGGACAAAGGTCTATACAAATTATGTCCCAAATCCATATATGATACACAGGATTTAATTTAAAGCAAGACAACTCCTACTTAACTCTGTGCAAGGACATGTTAAAAACTGAACAGCTAGACACATTTGGTATAAATATAGAAGGGTCAAAAAGTCTCAGACAGCATTGGGAATGCATCTTCTTTTGGACCTTTAAAGATGGAAATGTAAGAAGAAAGACATTAAGTTTTGGCACTGTTTCAAAGTCACTCAATCAAATAAGCAAAACCACGTGAACTTCTTTGCACAAAAAGGTCAGATCATCTTTCTCAAATCATGATGCTGAACACAGTCATATTAAGACATTTAAAATTTTCATATTAACTAACGCTTAATGTGTAGTTAATTATTGTAGTAGAATGCAAAATATAAGCATTTTACCAGTAGTCTGACATTTGGACCTCACTATAATCAATATACTGTATATGCATGAAGAATATGGGCCTCCAACATTAATGAAACACATTAATTGTGTCTATTTGAGTTATTAAACTCTTTTGTAATGATTTCATGCTTTTGTAACTCCTGACACTGCCATGGTCTTAACAAAAATGTAAAAGTCCAAAAGACTAGCCTTTGTCTTTTAATTCGGTGCCATTAAAATGTCACACAGGTTCAGTATCATCAGATTGTTCTGTAAAGAAAACTTACTTTGATGAAAGTGAGCTATTTCCCACTGTGTAAAACTAGTTGCTGATGATTAAACTCACCGTAGGTCGGCCTTTTACAGACAGACAGACTGTTCTGCGATACGTGTGACGCGTTCCGTAAAATACCTCGTATTTGTATCATTTTACTCAACATGAATCTGAACTGTACCTGTGCCGTTCTTGAACGACGTACACTCAGATTCAGTACAGAAGCCGAAAAGTGCCGTTCAAGTTCGCTGCAGAAAACAATGAGCAATGTTTTTTTTTTTCAGTGGGATGTTTTTTTTTTTTTTTTTTACTAATTATCAGCCTTTTTAACGCATTACATTGATAATATAAAACAAATTACAGTTATAAGGATTGGATAGGCTATAGGCAGGGGCGTCTTGCACTTATTATTTTTGAGAGGGCACAAGGTATTAATATTTTTAATAGGCTACGATTGACATTGTATTTAACGTGAATTTAATTTAAAAAAAACATTGTAAGTTACTAATTATAACACTTTCATTGTACAGAAAGAGAGCAAAGAACATTTACATTATCAAAGAACATTATCATTGATTTCAGTCTAGCCAGAGTTCACTCTCAAAAACTCCCATTATAATCACTGAAGCTGTTTACACTGTCAAATGCATATCTTACTTACATCGTTGGCACATCTGCACTTCGTTGTTTCTGATGAGAGAATTAATTCGCCAGAGAGCAGAATTCAGTCAGCCACTCGAGCAGTAAACAAAACATGGCGTTTCAGCGATGACTCATCTGAACGCCTCTGATTGGCCGTTGCATTCATAAACTCAACAGACTCGTGTGTGATTGGTTATAATGTGCAGCGCTGTAAAACGCGCCTGTCTCTGGCTCAGCGCCAGCCAGCGAAAACAGATTTGAATTTAGCAGCTAGTGATGTGCCGCACATCACACCCCTGTGATTGTATCAATTATAAAAAAATATTATTAGGCTATTTTTGTCTTTTGGAAGCTTTATTCAAAATCCAAGTGGCTCGAAAATCTGAGGGGGAAGTTGGCCCCGAAAAATAAAATGCTTGAAATGTTTTTTAAATAATTATCTTACCACAACTGCATTTGTTTGATCAAAAATACAGTAAAACAGTACTATTGCGAACTTCAAGTGTCTGAAATTCGAGTTATTAAAGGTATAGCCTAGTCCACCCAAAAATAACAATTCTATCATAATTTACTCACCCTTCCAAGTGCATTTCTTTCTTTAATTATTTAAATAGCTACAATATAGCCTGTATGGGGGCCATTAATAGCAAGACTTCTGTAGTTAAAAAATCAAGTAGAATATAATCAAATATATCTTTTATTGTTTCTTTTTAATGACTTGATTTATTATTGGTTATTTGTCAGAATTTCTGTATTGTGTGTTTGTCCCATATTTGATTTTTTAACACATACGAAAAGTGTAAAAATAAAAAAAAGTTCCACTTTGCACTTTTTCATAAAAATTACAATTATTTATTTAAATTTTTAATTTTTTTTTCAAAATGTAAAGACCCATATTCCCTGCTAAATTATGTAGTTAATTATTACATTATGTAATTACTGTCAACTGCATTCCATGTTTAGTGGAATTCTTTTCATTTCACTTTGGGGCCAATAAACAGGGACACACCTCCCAGCCAGATCTGTTTTGAGGGATATTATACAGACCAATGCATTTTGGATTGTGCTCAGCAATTTTTGGACAGACTGGAATGTTTATCCCTTAATAAAGAGAGAGACAATAGAGAGGCTCTGTTCTCAGTGTTGTTGACGCAGGACGGTGGGTAGGTGGGGTGGAAAGTCTTCAAAATATCAGCACCTCTCCTCCTCCTCCTCACTTTCAAACTATATGTTGCTCCTCCTCACCACCAATACAACACTCAGAAACGAGCTGGAAGTCATCAGTTGCTAAGTCAAAGCTCTCAGCCTGAACTTACAAATACAGATTTCTCTTTTAAAATCCGGAGTTCCTTCATTTGAGCATCATGACTGGAACAGCAGTGGTTTTGATGAGTCTGGTCCTCATCCTCTCTGTGGGTAAGTCACTCCCATTGGAATAAAAAAAAAAACACTGTTATTATTTTATTATTTTAATCATTGATGTGTGCCATTTGCAGTTAACAAAGAATTATTGCAATGTGATTAATCCAACAGTACCAATTTTTTTCAGGTGCAGAGGATAAATCAAGATCCTACCACAGAGTAATTTATACACTAAAACCCAGAACAAACACCTATCAGAAGATGAACTATGATGCATAACTGTGAATTGTGTGTGTGTTTTAAATCTGACAGCCTACATGTGGGGGTTTGAGTGTCAATCAAGCATGCCCTCTCAACTACTCTCCCGTATGTGGTAATGATGGCATCACATACGTCAATGAATGCACCCTGTGTGTGCAGAGAATGTGAGTCCATTCATTTGCTTCTGTTTGTGTAGGATAACAGCATTGCTGTATGGATTTGGCTGATAGTTAGCAAGTGCTGTGGTATGGATGCTGTGATGTTGAATCACTGAAATGGTGTTTGTTTTTTAGGCACACTAATGCAGACATTTTGATTGTGAAAGAAGGCTGCTGCTGAGGTGGAGGACCTTATGAAATCATCACTTCGCTTTTCATATCTATGTTTGTTTAAGAGTGTTGCTTGCTATGCTCATCCATAGGATGTGATCAGTATACCTATGAACAGTAGATGTGTGAACACCTACCGCATTTTAAAAAGAAAAAATACTAGTACTAAAAAGCAAGTACTAATTGCAGTTTCATGACATCTGAGTGACTAGTGCAGAGTGTTTGTTTTTCTATCATGTCAGTTGGTTTTTTTTTTTACGATACTGTCCTGTCTTTCTTTAATATATTTCTTTCCATATCATAAATGTCTTCCTTTATTTCTGTAGGAACTGCTCTGAGTGCAATGTTTTAGGGGTGAAGTTTTGGAGTTACAGCTTATTTTTCTAAATATGTTTAAAAAATCTAACAAAAATTGACATGATGACAAGCTGTGGGAAGACCATTTATACCTTGATTTTAAATTTTTTGCTAATAAAATAAAAATACTTGGTCAAACAAATGTAAGACTGACCAGCTTCACTTTTTTCTCGCTTTTCTTTGCAGCATATTTATCACTGACACTGAAAAGCAACCACACTGGACACAACTAGGCATATTATTCTGCATTATCTTTTTACTCTCATTTAAAATTGCCAACAAATCATCTCGTTCTATTAAAAACATTGCTGACAAAAATCTTCGATTTGTATCAGATGCATCAGATTTATCGATTTGTATCATTACACTTTTAAATCTTCAAAAGCGGCTGATGCCTTGTACACTTTGTGGCGGAACATAATTTTCAGAAGTGTATTTTGAGGGACTTTATAAGGTGACGGTATTTTTTGAGGGACTGTATAAGGTGACCAATACAATGACCGCTTAAAGACAGAGAGAAGGAAGTAATGAGATGGAAGTAATGAGAGCAAAGGAGTATTTAGGGCTTATGTATGGAAATAATATACGGATATACACAGATGCCTCCAAAAAAGGAAGGAGAGTCGGAGTGGCAGTTAATGTGCCAAAGTTACTGATGAAGAAAAAAGCTAGAATAAATGATCAACGGTCAGTATATACAGGTGAATTGATGGCTATTCTGCTAGCAGTACAATTAATTAAGGAAAGAGAAATACAAAATGCGGTCATTTGTTCAGATTCATATTCAGCAATGGTCAGTATTGATAACCAAAAATCAGAATCAATGCCAGATTTAATTATGGAATTATTAATTATGTTGGAAGAATGTTTCTGATCCAAGCTACCTGGTGATGGCAGTAATGCACTGTTAAGTGCAGTTGCCAGTAAAAGAAAGAAGAAGAAGAAGAATGACCGCTTCCGCACATGTGAGTTTTGACACCACATACTTCCGGTTAAGGAATAATATATTGTAAACATATTGTAAACACTGTAATATTAAATATTTAAAAATACAACGCGATCTATGATAATCACTCGTTTAAGTTCTTCCTGAGACATTAATATTAACATTTAATTCATGACGATGCGCTTTCTGGATGACAGATAATTATAACGCATCACAAATATTCTGAACTAACAGCATGATTTGAGTTAAACGTATTAAATAATCGTATTTGTCCTGATATCCTTATGCTGAGACTGTTATCGGTCAACTTTAGAGGACTTACAGAGCACAAGACACTCTTAAGTCTTAATTTCAGTACATCATCTGTCATGGCCAAAAGCAAATTTGAATACGTGAGAAACTTTGAGCTCGACGACACATGTTTGAGAAACTGTTACATTGTGGTTCGGCTAGATGGACGCAACTTCCACAAGTAAGTGTTTCTGTACAGTTACAACATGCTCTTGCAGAACTAACACTGTGTCTTATGTTTGTACAATTTCGTGGAGGGCAGAAAATGAGTGATTACTGAAATTACTTTCAAAATGATATTTTTGATTCCAGGTTTTCTGAGCAGCATAACTTCAGGAAACCCAATGATAACCGAGCTCTGGGTTTGATGAGCCGCAGTGCCCGTTCGGTCATGGAGGAGCTGGAGGACATCACTATTGCCTATGGACAGAGTGACGAGTTCAGCTTTGTGTTCAAAAGATCAACCACTTGGTTCAAAAGAAGGGCCAGGTATAATTGTATGCTGACACATTGCCGTAAATAAACTTGCCAGAATCTGCCTTGTATTTCAAAACCATCTTGATGCCAAACAGCACAGCTGGAAGATGGTTGTCCAGGGTTATGCTGTCTTGGAAACTCACCCATTAAATGTTTTCCTTTCTCTCTACAGTAAACTGATGACCCATGTGGCTTCCCAGTTTTCCTCTAGCTTTGTTTACTACTGGAAGGAGTATTTTGGGGAGCATCCGCTGCTGTACCCACCCAGTTTTGATGGCAGGGTGGTTCTGTATCCTAGCAACCGTAACCTAAGAGACTATCTAAGCTGGAGACAGGCAGATTGTAAGTGAATGTATTTTGTAGTAGATGTAATGATAAAATGTGTTTGACTGTAACATGTATAAAACAGTATAATAGAATGAAGTAGTCATTTTTGACTTCTAAAATTTACTATGATTGTACTTTATTTCATGCCAACCCTGTGGTTGTGAATATGGTAATATTATCATGTTTGCTTGTGATGGAGCATTAATGTATACGTGCTATATGTTAATAACATAAATATATTGTATTTTGATTATGCATTAAAATATAAATGTGAAATCCATTATTTTTTTACATTCTAGGTGTCCTAGAAATGAACGTCTAGCTATACAGACTATATCAACATTTAACAATGGATTTAAAATTGTTTCAGAATCTCAAAATTTTTCATTTTAACATTTGTTATTTCTATTCAGGTCACATTAACAATTTGTACAACACTACGTTTTGGACTCTGGTTCAGAAAGGTGGACTGACCACAACGCAAGCTGAGGAGAGACTCAGTGTATGACCAATTAAAGTATTATTTGTTTAATTGAGTATTTTTATGTTTGTTCTGAGTTGTTTTCTTTAGAATGCTTGTAGAATGTTTTATAGAATGCTTGTCACTAATGTACAAAGAAGGTTGCCATCCCAAACAATATAAACATGACTATTTAAAAGCTGACTAGGTTTTTTTCTGTATTGTAGGAATATTATCCAATAAACAGTTTTTAACCAGAAACATAATCAGTATTTAATTACCAATATAATTTGTGAATGTTTAATTTTGGCTTAATTGGATTTTATTTTTCCATATAGTTTTAATTAAACACACCTAATTCCAGTACAGTTATTTTGTTTGTTCACATTATATAACTGTGGTGTAATTTACATAAACTGAATTACAGGGAACACAAGCAGCGGATAAGAATGAGATCTTGTTTTCTGAGTTCAATATCAATTACAATAATGAATCCCCACTGCACAAAAAAGGCACGACTTTAATATGGGAAAAGGTAAGCTGCCGCTGCAAAACATTATTTTTAAAAAAAATGATCTTTAATGAAATTTTTAATTCTTAAATTCTTTCCTTCAGGTGAATGAAACCACAACTAAACAGATCAAGCGGCCAGATGAAGTACAGACAGAAATGACTGTAACACGGACCAGAAAAAAGGTTACAAGTCATTCCTGTGATATCATTGGAGATCAGTTCTGGGAAGAACATCCAGACATTCTGGAAAGCGACCAGTGTTGATCACATGTTTAAAGACCAAAATACAAGCAAATTTTTCCTTTTGGTATTAAAAAAACATTCAATGTTTATATTTTATTGTCTTTTTTTGAGCAAACTAATGTGAATGAAGGGGGATATTGCCATGTTATTTCCCCCCCTAAGATTCCTAGTCTTAGTATTCTCTCCTGCAGGGATGAGCATCTGTTTCACCTCACCCCCGACTGTTTCCTTTCTGTGTGGTGACGACTTTAAAAGTCAGTTTTTCTGCAGCCAAATTTTTGTGTCATTACATATCCGGTACTATGGGGCACATTTAATGAAATGAGAATTAAATCATTACTTAAAGATATATTCCAGGTTAAACTCGATCCACAGCATTTGTGGCATAATGTTGATTACAACAAAAATTATTTCGATTTGTGCCCCCTTTTTCAAAAGCAAAAATCGAGGTTATAATGAGGCACTTGCAATGAAATTGAATGTGAGTTTTTGGATGATTTAAAAGCAGAAATGTTCATCTAAATTTCATAAAAAACTTTTTTAAACTTGTGCGTTGTTTGATGAGCTGTTTAAGTTTTGCTCAATCCCCAGCATTTGTGGAATAATGTTGATTACCACAAAAATAATTTTGACTTGTACCCCCTTTTTCTTGAGTAATTTAGTGTTACAGATTTCAGGCCCTATTCACTTTAATTGTAAGTGTCTCACTGTAACCCATATATATATATATATATATATATATATACACACACTACCGGTCAAAAGTTTGGGATTACATAATATGTGTGTGTGTACTGTGTGTAAGGCGAGACACTGCAGGTGAATATGGTAAAAAAAAATAACTAATAGTTATCGCCTTACCCAGCTGATTGATTACATTAATAATTGCAAAAAATTTTTGTATTACAAGTTTTCTAAAATGTTAGGTTTAAATATGCAAATGAGTGATTATTTAATGAAATATGCGCTAATTTGCATACATTTCTAGAACAAAAATCTAACCACTGGATGATGTCAGTTTCAAAATTCTTATTTAAATTTTTTGACATATTAAGTCAAAAGTTTTTACATAGGGAACTTTGGGTATCTCATTTTTGTCACTCCATAATTCAGAAAATGCTTAGCACAAATGCTGTTGATTGAGCTTTACTCTTTACTGAGTTAAATTTGTTATTATCAAAGCTTTGACAGATCTGAACATCCTAGAGGATGTGTGTGCTGGTCTGGTCTTTCCTGTACTTTGATGTTGGACACAATTACACAGAATGATTGGCGCAGCATGTAGTCTGATCATGAAATCTCTCTCTCACCTTATCTTTGCTTCTGGTTTTAATGAATCCTCTACACTATTCTCTGTACTAGCTGTTTTGAAGCCAATGTGTATATTATTACACACAATGATGTGTGTAGTGTGTAATATGGTATCCCTGACCTCGTTTCATGCGTAAATTATAACAGTATATGTACACCATTACTGTAACAACTGTAAAGGCCTTTCAAGACCAATTATGAACACAATATTTTTTTCTACCACTGGTATTTTATCAATTGCAGAGGTCAGTATTATAGCTCACTTAGCATGCAGGCTGCTGATAGAAATCTCTTAATTTATTTTAGTTTTAATTAGGGCTGTGAATCTTTGGGTAGACAGCGATTCGATTCGATTCACGATTCATAGGTTTTCGATTCGATTCAAGAACGATTTTTGCACATTTAGAACGATTCGATTCGATTCACAATTAAATTCGATTCGATTAATGATTTGATTCTGCATTCTTTAAGTGCATTCACAGGATTATTTAAATGCTTCCCCTAAATTCTTTAAATGCTTAGTCAGGGGGCAAATTACACAGAAGCCTTTATGGTTACAGAACCATAGGTTAGAGGAAAATAAAAACTTTTGTCCGTTGTTAGTTTAATGATGCTATGGCATGACATGGCATACGTAAAAATGTATGTAAGCCAAGATTTAAAAAAGAGCTTTAAAAGTATTATGTATAGACTAACATTTTGTCACACCAGGAGCGTAGCCATCATTTCAGAAGTGACAGAAATGTCAAATACAATAATTTTATGTATGTATGTATTATTATAATTATTTTTATTTTTATTTTTTTTACAAGGAATTCTTTTCTTATCTATTACTTTGAATTTGCTATAAGAAATCAAATACACTGCTGGACAATAATCAATCATTTGTAATCTATAATTTTTTCCTAATGGCAATTTTATGATTGTTTTATATACTACAATCAATTATTTCAATTTTCTGCACATAATAAGGTAGAAAAATTATTTTAACAGTTTCCTTCGTACATTCGGTTGAACGACATTGTTAAAACACATTTATCATTCAATGACATTACTGGCCACGAGTCCTAATGAGAGATCACACGTCAGCTGCTCAAAAGTGAGACGAACGGAGCGCGAGCGCAATCCTGTGCCAGTCACAGGTGGTTAGTGGAGCGCGTGAAGGAGAGATGCGAGGCACGAATACTGTTCAAGGTCTCAATTAATTCGTGCTTGTAGTAATTTAATGTTTATATATTTTGAAAGCATTGAATCGCTATAGAAATTGCGATTCTTTCGATTATTAGCGATTATATAACTGTCCGAAATAGGCTATTCACGATTCAAAAATCATGTTTCAAGATCGATGCATATGCATCGTCAGGGTTTGTAATCGATGCATCGACAAAACGAGTGAATCGTTACACCCCTAGTTTTAATACATTACATTACACTCTGTGCTAGCTGTTTTGGTGCCAAGGTGTATTTTATTTCACATAAGGTTATATTGGGTATCTCTGACCTCATTTTGTGCTTAAATTATAACAGTGAGTACTGTATAACAGCATATTGTGATTGTAGCAACTGTACATACCATTGAAGACTGAGGACATCTACTAATTAAGGTAATTTTCATCTTCATCATGAATCGTATTTCATCATGAAAACGTATTTTGTAGGAATCTGTTACTTTAGTAAAACCATGGTCAAGTAAATTTGATAGACATACAGACAGATAGACAGACAGACAGACAGACAGATAGATAGATAGATAGATAGATATATAGACAGATGCATAGATGAAA